AAAATGAAGTTTTTCTCTTTCTGCATTCAAGAAAAAGATAAGAATGAAAAAGAAAAAAAAGGGAATCATTTGAAAATTTGAAAAGGTGAATGCACTGAAGTAGACTAAAATAAAATGATGGACACAAAATAGAATTTGAAAATATTTCCACAAAAGTAAAAAATATAGTAATAAAATTAAATTATTTTAAATAAAAATTGAAGTTAAAAATGAATTTTTTCTCTTTCTGTATTCAAGAAATAGAAAAGAAGTGTAAAAGAGAAAATAAAAGAAAGAAAAATTGAATAGATGGACCTGCTAACAGATTGACATAGGACTGAAATTACTTCGTTTTCACCTAGAAGTCAGTCTATGTAGCACTTTATATTCCATAAACTAAGCTAGCGGTGAGACTTGTGCTCTTAAGAGCGAAGTTGGACCAGTTGGGTGGGGCTCAGTGTAACGGCTTTGCTCTCCACTAGATGGCGCTGCTAGCCTACTGGGGTGGATTGTTGCGGCGCTCGTAGGTGCGTATGGGCATTCGCGGGAGTGGTTAAAATGGCGCCACCCAGCTACCCCGGTCTGTTCTCCTGGATCAGCAATCGCACACCCGTCCTCTGTCTTCAGCTCTCGTCCACTCCCCACTTTTTCACTCTTCGTGACCAGGCCCCAGGCAGTACCTCTCTCCCGAGTTTTGTCTCAGATGTAGCTGTTTTCCCCGCCCCTTACTTCCAAAGGACTGCGGCTTTGACCCGGTCCGCCCCTCTGCGGGAGGGTCTCACCCAGTAATGGCTGAATGCCGGCTGCAGCCAGGAATGCCTGCTGGACCCTGCTGCTGCCAGTGCCCTGAGACTACGGCCACGTGCCAGCCCACCCCAGAAAAAGTTTGTGAGATAGTGTAGCAGCAGCGTTTCGGGGATTATGGAAAATTGCAACACACATCTGGCACCAGGCTTCACCCTTAACGACCTTGTTCCAGCACCAGCGAATGTGGCCGTTTTCTGGGGTCTTCTGGGACCAGGTGGCTCCAACAATCTCCACCAAATGTCCTTCCAGCAGTG